CTAGCATCCCAGAAAACTAATTTCGCGTCTTAAGTACTGTATGGAGAAAGTGAAACAAAAACTTATCTTTGCACCACGAACATTTTTGAAAAGTTCCGCCTTTGACACTATAGTTACGTCGTGTTTACTACTCCGCTGTACACAGGACCTCCCTGAGCTTCAAGATCGATCAGAGAGCTCAAAATAAGGCGTCAGTATTCTGGCCCGCGCCTGGCTTCCTCCTGGGCGCGTGGGAGAAAATATCACACAAGGTCTGGAGCTGCGGGGAGTCCTGAAGGTGATGGCCTCTCACCGCGACTGCCTGTCGTCGGCCGCCTCCACAACGCGTGGGCGTGTGGTCAGAACTATGTTTCTTTGCGCGCGCGAGAGGTGGCGCTACTGCGCCGGTTCCACCGCGGGTCCGCGAACCACTTCGGACGGTCCGTGGGACTGCGGGGGATTATCGCGATACCTAAGGTTCGATGTTTCCGACACTGACTCGAACTACGCGCGATGGCCCAGACGGGCCCAACATAACTATGTCTTATACCGTGGAGCGCTCGCAAGTTTTGCGCATTCTGCATCAGCCACGGATGTTGCATCGCTCAGTGTTCGTGCGACGCATTTGCTGAGGGATGGGGATGTACCAACCCTTAGACGTTCAACGGGGAGGGCGCGTGAGAGTTTTCTAGTGTTGTATATGTTACGACAAGACCATCCAGGTGCTTAAAAGTAGACGTGCAACCCACGCTGATACTGTAAAGTTTGTTTTTTGTGTGCAAATCACAAAATGTACATTTTCCTAAACAAAAAGCCACGTATGCCCATCGTGGAGCAAGACACATTCATCAAGTGCATGCAGTGACAAAGACATTGTATCGCGCGTGCACACAAGAACACTCCAAAACTAACAAAAGCCTAGCGATGAACAGTTAATGGACAGCACATTAAAAACGCATGATAACACACAATGACGTCATACAAAGAATACCACAACAACCGGCATTAACAAAACGCATGGATCACATCACTGGCAACGCACTACAGCGGAGTGGAACGTCAAACACATCCGTCGTTTCTTGAGTCTTACGTTGTGTTTGAATATTGGGAGGTTTTATTGAACTTACTTGAAATAATGTTCTCTTCGTTTAGTACCTATCGAGACATGCTTCGAGTGACAAGAGAGAAAGGCCGTTCAAAAGTTCAGAAGGGAGCGGCTGTTTGATGGCGGCGGTGGTCATGAGACGGTGGCCATGGCGGAGACATGAGACGGTGGTCATGGAGGAGACATGAGACGGTGGTCATGGCGGAGACATGAGACGGTGGTCATGGAGGAGACATGAGACGGTGGTCATGGAGGAGACATGAGACGGTGGTCATGGAGGATACATGAGACGGTGGTCATGGAGGAGACATGAGACGGTGGTCATGGTGGAGACATGAGACGTTGGTCATGGAGGAGACATGAGACGGTGGTCATGGAGGAGACATAAGGCGGTGGTCATGGCGGAGACATGAGACGGTGGTCATTGGCGGAGACATGAGACGGTGGTCATGGAGGAGACATGAGGCGGTGGTCATGGCGGAGACATGAGACGGTGGTCATGGAGGAGACATGAGACAGTGGTCATGGAGGAGACATGAGACGGTGGTCATGGAGGAGACATGAGACGGTGGTCATGGCGGAGACATGAGACGGTGGTCATGGAGGAGACATGAGACGGTGGTCATGGAGGAGACATGAGGCGATGGTCATGGCGGAGACATGAGACGGTGGTCATGGAGGAGACATGAGACGGTGGTCATGGAGGAGACATGAGACGGTGGTCATGGAGGAGACATGAGACGGTGGTCATGGAGGAGACATGAGACGGTGGTCATGGGGGAGACATGAGACGGTGGTCATGGAGGAGACATGAGACGGTGGTCATGGCGGAGACATGAGACGGCGGTCATGGAGGAGACATGAGACGGTGGTCATGGAGGAGACATGAGGCGGTGGTCATGGCGGAGACATGAGACGGTGGTCATGGAGGAGACATGAGACGGTGGTCATGGAGGAGACATGAGACGGTGGTCATGGAGGAGACATGAGACGGTGGTCATGGAGGAGACATGAGACGGTGGTCATGGCGGCCATGGCGGCGGTCCCGAGACGTGGTCATGTCTGAAGCATAAAACAGCGGGCATGATGCTTTAAATGTGGGTACTATATTGATTAAGATAGCGCCCTCAGTCGGGCGTAATAATCATACTGTCTCGTTCGTGTTTAATTCTGGACGTGATGTCAAGCTGTTTCCATGTGACATTGTGTTCATCTATTTTGTTCAGTTATCTAGAGGAATGAAACTCCTTGTCAGCTTCCAAATTTAAGTTATTTAGAAATTTGTGTTGAGTGTTAACAGCTGTGCTGTCTAGTACTGCATATTGTTATTTCCTGCTCCCGAGCACAAAGGTTTCCGTTAACCTTCACAACGGCCTACATTAGGGAAAAATCCCTTGCTTTGATTTATCTGGTATGCGAGTCTGCAATGCCGCGTAAATGTGTGCGATATTATAGAAATGAAGACCTGTGCCACCTTGCGGTTCCAGAAAAGCTGTTTCCTTTAGGAAGCCGCAAATAGTGCATAGACTGTCATTAGCTTTGCCAATCACTAACGAAAATTCGTTGGTTAAAGGTTTCTAAATGCACCATACTTGAAGTTAAACTAAAGTGAAATGTTTGAGCAAATTTGTTTCAGTAGCAGCACATATGTCTAGCCTGTATGAAGCGTGAAAATGGTTTGCGTCTAACCCACTTTACCCCAGGTTTTTCTGTGTTTTTCATATTTGTTCCTCAGACAAGTGGTGTATGTTTATATGTAATGCGTGAAATTCTAGCATCTCCAAGGACTGAGTTTTTTCGTGATGCATAAAAGAATAGGCAAATGATTTATAATTTGACTCTTTGGCGGTGCTCGAATGGTTTCTAATGAGAGACGCAAAGAAAATAAATGGCATACCAGCCCCACAACACGGTTTCTATATCTCCGTTAATGTAAAGAATTCCTGTTGTGGTATTTATAAGGTCTGAAACAATTTACAATCCTGTAATGTCGCATGTTTTAACGATGCCGTTGGCGAATTTTGAAACATTCTTGGGTCGCAGCTTTTCGGTCAACGTTTGCTTACGTTTGGAATAGGTAAATCACATAACTCGCTTCAAGCTGCGATTGCCTGCTTCCAGAAAGGGATTACTACCTTTTTCACTTTGAAAGGGCTGTCGTTCCACATGATAGCGACTCTTGAATAGGGGGAATTTTTCCGTATCGTAAAAAATCAACTGTGTTTGAATTGGTGCAGTCTTTTTATCCATGTTGTCTTCATGCTCTTAATAAAGCTACTAAGATCAACCGTTCCAAGTCATCATTCTCGCTCTCTTAGACAGCTTTTATCGTTTACCGCTGCCATTTCTACCCCTTTCCCGCAGAAACCGAAGCAGTTTTATCCCAATCTGCACCGCGTCGCTTTTTTAAAGTGACGGTAGTGTTAAAAATAAGCGAAGTAGGATTGGCCACCCAAGCTAATGCTGTAGACCAATGTTCCGTTCTGCTTTACCTTCAGCCGTAACACTATAAACTAAAAGAATGCCGTGATGGAAGTGTCACTCACGGGTATTTACTCGCCTTCATCTGTGTAAACGCTTAGACGGCAATTCACAAAATTATTGCAACAAAGAGGAAAAGCTCATGACAAAGAGAGAGCTTCTGCACAAATCAGGTAAGCATACCATGACTCGAGTTACCCAAACCATCAAAAGACTGCAATTTCTGGGAAGCCGGATGCATTGCAAACTGTGCGAGAATGGTAACTGTGCGACTAAACTATCCAGTGCCCCAGAGGACTCAACAGACGTGCCAGCTGCTAGGGCATGCTCATCACGCATGCAGCGCACATTCGCAGCCTGTGCCACCATCATGTCCTGGACGAGGACTGACACACAACTGCCGGTCGCTTGGGGTGCCCACTGACTCCATGATGTGAGAACACGGCCCAGAATAAATCAAATTATAAAAGTACACGTTGAGGTACTGCGGTTAGAAATAAGCAGTGTTTTGGTTGGAACTGATCTAGGTTCTTGAACTGAGTAACTTATGTCGCCATTGATCTCTTGCAGCAAGACTGCAAATGGCTTATAACAGACTAAAGTGTTATTTAATATATTCACGTGCCACGGAAATGGAACAACGGTTGATAACTCATAAGCCACGGAGTTTTCACCCAAATTAACGCTCTTGGCGCCTAGGTAACCTCCTCCTTTTATCCATATGACACCTTTCCCGCCGTGATTTCACTTCGCTGCTCCGCATTCACCACGTGGAACGGATCTGCTGTCACGTGCTCATAAATATTGCGTGGGACGAAACTATTCATGGTATGCAGACCTTCACGCCTGCCCGCCCTGACCTTGGTCGGAGTAGCTGCTACAGTATGGAACACTCGCATTTCCAAACGTCCTTCCGTAGTATCGACCATAGTGAGCACCAGGAATGAAGAGCCACGTGGTTTGAGTGGGATCAAAGTACGTGGCTTCACTGCCAGCACCTGGAGAATGAGATGTAAACAATAGCATCATTCCATGGGCTTCAGCACGGTTATCTGCATACATACTCCCTGTGCAATGTCACTGTTCTACTTCGCAACATTTGGTTTTGTTTCGATGAAAAACATCAATTCTCCCGCAGCATTCGGTTACATTTAAAGACGCAAACAAAGCTCCTAAGTTGTTACATGAAACTGTATTTGAAGTTTATTACGAGCCCCGTTTGCTTGTCCATTTGGCTTCATAGATGGCTCGCACTGTCTCCAACCAGTGTCAGTGCCACGTATTTCTGTTCTAGTGTTTTTCATATTGTCCTTGTCTGAAGCATCGAACTCACGCACATCCAACGAACGATGCAAACGAGGCGGGCCTGCGCACACCCAACAAAGCACTCCCGTCTGAAAACAATCAGCTGACCACGTCGCACCACGCGTTCCAGGAACGGCCACATGCTGACCCACTGCAACAAGAAGCCGTACGAGTGCACGTCGGACGGCTGCAACAAGTCGTACTGCGACGCCCGCTCGCTGCGTCGCCACGTGGAGAACATACACGGGCAGCCGGCGGGCGGCGGCCGGCCGGCGGCCGCCGCCAGGACGGCCGTCGCGCCCGCCGGCGACGACCAGCGGGTCACCAGCAGCCGCGAGCAGGCTGTGAGTGAGGCCGGGGCCGGACTGGCGTCAGAAAGCGGGCCTCTCATGCAGCCGCGACAGGGATGAGGAGTCAGGGAGCCGGCCACTAGTGCAGCCGGGTCAGAGAGCCGGCCACAAGTGCAGCCGGGTCAGGGATGGGATCAGGGAGCCGGCCACTAGTGCAGCCGGGTCTGGGAGCCGGCCACTAGTGCAGCCGGGTCAGGGATGGGATCAGGGAGCAGATTTTAGGTACAGCCGCGGCTCAGGTATGGGGTCTGGGAGCAGGTTGCAGGTACAGCCGCGGCCCAGGTATGGGGTCTGGGAGCAGGTTGCAGGTACAGCCGCGGCTCAGGTATGGGGTCTGGGAGCAGGTTGCAGGTGCAGTCGTGGCTCAGGGATGGAGGAGGGAGCTTGCTGTGTGTGCAGCTGTGGCACAGGGGTCGGATAAGGAATCAGGTCGCAGGTGTTGCGTTGTTGTCGACCGCGGCATGACAATTGCGTATTTCCAGTGAGATATCGGCTATGTAAAATGAGAAATGAAACCAAAAATGTTCCAAAATTGTCCCAGCCATGTTTTTAACGCAGTCTCTTGCACCTCATGTTTCGTATGTTTCGTTGTGGAGAGAGCATTGGTAGGACACCGCCTGACCGTGCACGTTACTGGGCCTTGCGACCACGTGCGGAAATTAGCAGTTGAAAACGAAATGCAGGCCAATTCTTACTGCCATAAGGTGCACCTTTTTGCCCGCCCCAGTTTTAGAGCTGTAACAACAAACCGTCAATACAAAAACGAATCGGTGCAATGTCAAGCTGATCAACAAAATAAATGTACCTGGTTTGGATGGCATCATAGGAAGGTCTCATTGTAAGGTGAAACTCTGTGCTTCTTGTAAAATTAATGCTCAATTTAAAGTAATAGCTTAACACGTGCCTGGGTGGCCGATTGGATACCCCTTGCTTGGTGAGGGGGTGGGTCGATTTGCCCCCCCCCCCCCCCCGCTGAGATTTCAGGAACTAAGAAAGCTACAGACACCAAACTCACAGGGTGTGTTGGTCTGTGCATTAACTCACTACGTTACATCACGTGACCACAAAGTCACGTGACCTGTGACGTCACGCATTGGCAGATGATTCCACGGTTTTTTTAGCGTTTTAGTGTTTTTACCTCAGTCTGTCAGCCTGGGCAGAAAACGCTACCAGATTAAAAGATCACTCTGACTGAAAGGGGACTTTGATTTGGTAGCTTTTGCGTTGGCGATTACGTTAGGTGGGGCGGAAGCACTTTGGCTTTGATTTTGGGGGAAGTGCGACCTTTGGTAGATAAGGAGGAAATTGAAATGCTAAGAGTACCCATGAAAAGGTGAGTGACAGTGTCTGGTGTGGTGTGTGGTTGCCCGGTAGATAATTAACGCTAAAAGTAAACATTCAAAGTGAGAGGAATGAAACTGAAATGAGTTAAAAATGGTAAGAAACACTCAACATACGGACAAGATAGATGATGGTAAAACCGGAACTGAAGCCACACTTCCAAACACCACTTTGTACGCAGTGTGTCATGATCGATGGTAAGCCAGAGTTAGTGTGTGGACTGAAGTAAAAGGTAAAAGAAGAAAGGAAAGTAAAATCTAAAAACTTTACCGTCAGCCCACACATCGAACGAAACTGAAATAAGTTAGCACGCACGCGTGACGTCTCGCATTCCAGCTGACAGTTGTGCTGACGACAGATTGAACGGGGCCAGATTGGCCGTCGAGCGTTCTTTTTTTACAGCAATCGGGGAGTGTTTTTTTTTTCGCTGTCCTACTTTTCCATAAAGTGGCATTCTTTTTTATGATTGGCAGCATGCGAAATATACGCCAGGAATATCTCTTAATGTACGATTTGGTGTCCAAAAGCGTTCAAAGGTACTTTTTCAGATGCTTCACCATTTTCGTCCACATGTTGGCCACGGCTTAGTGCTAGCCGCGGGGCCGATGCTGCGTGGCCCAGGGCGACTGCAACGTCTGGCGTCGAGTTTTTGTCGCTTAGATGTGCCAGCGCGCATGCTGAAAACTATGTTACAATATTTGTACCGCTGACCATTCTGACTGAATGTTGAACATATCCAGACAAACATGGCTTGGCCATGCTAATACAAGTCGATCCGTCTTGATCTTCAGTCTACATTTACGGAATCCTTGCTGTCTCTATACAACCCACATAAAAACATGGCACAATTTCGGAGTTACATCGGTTGAAAGAGTCCATTGGACCATTGTAAAATGAAGAGCGCCGTCGATCTTTTTCATGCAGTCATTTAACACATGGTTTTGTCAGTTTATTTTCTACAAACCTAAGGCAGAATTGATCCCATGGTACCGTTTGGACTATATTTCAGTTGAAGAAGGTAAAAATATATGTGGGTGGGCGGGTGGGTGTGGGTGGGGGTGTGGGTGTGGGTGTGGGTGTGGATGTGTATGTGTGGGTTGTGTTATAAATATCCTACATGCATATGTATAAATATGCTATATGCATATGTTATGTGAGAAAATATCTCCTCAGTAACGAATGGGCCATATTCGGCGATTTTCTAAAGCGGTCGTTCTACTGTCAGGGGGCCGTTTTTCAACCCTGTGCCCCCCCCCCCCCTCCTGGCCAAGGCTCTGGCTGCGCCCATGCTGATGGGGCGCCGTGCGGGCCGCCTGACGGGGTTTGCTGACGGGGCACCGTACGGGCCGCCTGACGGGGTTTGCTGCGGGGCGCCGTGCGGGCCGCCTGACGAGGTGTGCTGACGGGGCACCGTACGGGTCATCTGACGGGGTTTGCTGCGGGGCGCCGTACGGGCCGCCTGACGGGGTTTGCTGCGAGGCAACGTGCGGGCCGCCTGACGGGGTTTGCTGCGAGGCAACGTGCGGGCCGCCTGACGGGGTTTGCTGCGAGGCAACGTGCGGGCCGCCTGACGGGGTTTGCTGCGAGGCAACGTGCGGGCCGCCTGACGGGGTTTGCTGATGGGGCACCGTGCGGGCCGCCTGACGGGGTTTGCTGATGGGGCACCGTACGGGCCGACTGACGGGGCTTGCGGACGGCCGAGGCCAGGCGAGCTGAGCTAATGCTGGTCGGGAGGCTCGTGTTGCGGTGCAGCAATGCCTCAGTGATGTATTTTCAAAGGCAAGTGCGTGTAGGTTGTCGAACTTGCTTCCAAACTTGTTTCTGGGGATGAAGTTTACGGTAATGCAGTTCTGAAATGTCGAAACACCGTGCAACAGGGGGCTAAGTACAACACTACGTTTCACGACCGCTTGAGCCCTCTAGGCGACAATCGCTGAGATGGCGTGCAAAAAGGTCCTGGATTCTCCCCAAATACATGTCAAGGGTCGGCAATCAACGGGTGATGTGCAAAATGCATTATGCTGTCGTCTCATCTTTTCAAGCAATGTTGCGCCTTGCTCGACAGATCTGGTAATCGACTGTGCTTGGCACACTTCTCTTAACCAGCAGTATAAGCCTTGTAAGTCCTGAATGGCCTCATTACGCATATTTTAACAGCTTTCATCTTTCGAAGCCGGTTTACTGGAATAGCGAGTGCCTAGACACGTGAAAGAACCGTGGGAAAGTACAGGTGTGCCCTCGAATTGTGCCACACTTCGCAGTTTTGCAACGCGCTTTGATGTAACTGCAGTGCAGCCCAGTGCGCAGCGAAGATGATTGATTCAGAGCCATTCGGTTTCATAACTAGAAAAGCCTTCGCAAACTGGATGTCAGCCATAAGACACCAGCGGACCTCATCCATCACCCAATCCTTACCATCAAGCATCCTTGTCATCCATAAGTCCAGACAGTGATAGCTCTGGCTCAAAGTTAATTGCACTCTCGGAATGGGGGTGCCAGCAGAACCAGTGAAGACAAAACATTATCATAAATCAGACATTAGAATTAGCCTTATTCCTCGAAAAACCAGGAGAAGGGAGATACAGTTTGGCTGATGCATCGGCAACATGTCTTCATCGAAATAAAAGCAGAAGTAAATTCAAAATTGACCGCCGGTGATCCTACTCCACTTTTCAGGTTATTTTTTTTTCAAACAGCAATCCACAGTTTTCATGGACACTTGCTTTCAGGGAATTAAACAAAAAGCGGTTGTCAGCCATCATCAAGATACAGTGCCCGTCTGAGAATTAGAATGCGTATATTCACAGTATATAAAATCAATTCACGTTCAGTGAAAGCAATAGATTCACATTCATATTTATATAAAAATAGATTCACATTCAGATATATATATATATATATATATATATATATATATAAGAGTAGATTTACATTCAGTGAATCTATTGTTATAAAAAGTCGGCGACCGAATATTAACACAAAGGGCTCATCATGGCCAATTATGGGAATGTTATATGTGCCTCTATGCGTGATGGGTGCTGGCTTAAAATCGCTTACATGTGTAAGTGGTGCCTGACGCGTGATATGCGATGCCTGCTCAATTGAAATTGTTTGCATGTACAATTGATGCGCGTTGTGTGATGCCTGTTTTACTTTAACTCGTTTGCATGTTTGAATGAAGCGTGATGCGTGGTACCTATTTGCTCGAATTCGTTTGCATGTACACGTATGTTTGTGTCTTCTTATTCCTAGATAGGCACTGCATAATGGTAATGGCTGGCAGTCGCTCTTTGTTTAATTCCCTGAATGTTATTGTCCTGCAAAAACGGTGGCTTGCTGTTTCAGAAAATAGCCTGAGATATCGAGTAGGATCATTGGGCAGGCAATTCCAAATTCACTTCTGCTTTTGTTTCGATGAAGACATGTTGCCGAAATATCAACCAAACTATACCTTCATTCTCCCGGGTTTTTTTCCGAGGGATGAGGCTAATAATTCTGTCTTATCTGTGTGAATAATGTTCCTCACTAATGCACTGAACAACTTACGTAATTCTAAAAAATTATCCAGTGAAACTCCGAGGCTGGATATTGGCGCACGCGTATTTGGGTGCTTTAAACGCTCTTACTCATTTTTACGCCTCAATTCCACCAACTACGACCAAAAGTACTTTCATTAGGAGTACGAGAATCGGCGAATGTCCTGCCTGTGTCATGATGACGCGAAACTAAAATCTAGAAAGTGCTGGGACGTCACAGGCAGTGTGCTGTACACATGGATTTGACACTATGATATCCGCCGAAGTGCTGATCGAAAGTCCGCTGAGTTTTATATCCCTTGTCTCAACACGGGCAGCAATATATCTATCACAGTCCATGAGGTACAGGGCACCACACCGTATGCACCTTGAAGGATATCACAATTTTACAGGCCGAAATAAATAGGTCATCGAAACTAAATTTTGCATACTTGCTGCGCTGGGGGTAAACATCAGATCTGCGTGGCTCCGCGTGTAACGTGTTGTCAACGCTTCAACTAACCACCGACGCAGGCGACAGAGTACGTGGGACGGACAGGTCGATTGACTTACGTCCAATGCGTTTGCGGTGCGTTCAGGTAATTCTGCAAATGACTTGGTCTGGGCGTGTACACAATTTTGGGTAGTGTTTTTATCAGGGACGGAATGATTGTTCGGACTGTCGCACTCGTGTGGCGTGTAAGCATGCACACAGCGTTTCGGCCAGCTGTCTCTCCGGCCGCCTTCAGGTGTCATGGAGTCCTGGGAAGGGCTGGATGATGTTTGCCCTCCAGCCATGCATGCGTCATATCTCGAGTTCTCTCCTTGGACTTGCTCAGATTCGAATCAGGGCCAACTGATTTCGAGATTAGTCCAGTGTTCTACCAACGGGGCTTACCGGAACGGTAATCTTCCGTCGTTAGAACCTGATGTCATTTATCTCCTGGATATTTAGGGATTTTCCACAGACTGGGTGCCATATTGGGACGGATGTTAATACTTGGTTTACATATATTGTTGTTAGCCAATGTCATGTGTGCTGCCCCTTTGGTCCTCCTGACTTTCCAATTTTGCTCTCTGTTGATGATGGCTACCTCATCGCGTGCTGGTCGGGGATCGCCGTCTGACCACAAACGTTCTGCCACGCCAGGCTTCAGACCAAAAAATGAGTGCAATATGCGGCAACTGTTTTAAACATAGGGCACCCGCGATAAAACTTTATCGACATTTTCCTTACCAACGGTAAGTATACTTGTCATAAAATCGTGACTCTGGTCGCATTTGACTACCAATTACGTAGCAAAACACGAGCAGCGACATCGGTAGACAGATATTCCACATTGCACAAAAAAGGACTACAAAAGTCTCTCCAGATCCTCCCTGGCGGTCCAGGATGACCAACAGCTGAACCAGCTGCTGGTGGCTGGTTAGTCTGTCGATCTTGTCGACGGTGATGCGTCTCATCATAAATCTAAAGGCGGCTTTGAGCTTTTGGCAGCTCTCTGGCTTGCCCACGTGGACGCGGTTCTTTAGGTTGCCTCACAGCATGAAGTCCAGTGGCGACAGGTCGGGGAGCGCGAAGCCTACTCCACAGCAGTCTTAAGCTGATGGGCATTCCAGAGAAATGCTCCTCCAACCAATCCAGTGAAGCCCGTGCCGTGTGCGGTGTATGCCAGTCCTGCTGGGGCCGCTCGCCGTCCCGATCAATCCCGTGAAGTCGCCTCGGAACCCCCCAGGAGGACATCAGAGTGGCAGCCATCCCCAATAGAGACAGCCTGTTTCGTTTCCGATACCACTTCTTTGCGAACCTGATGCTGTTGTATTGTTAAAACCGAGATTCAATCGGGAGGTGTCGCCCATGGTTCCGGGTAATCGTTCGCACGGAAAAAGAGGAGTACGGATAAGCGCCGTTACGTTCGCACGACCGTGGGTCATAAGATGCACTTACCGCTCGCTGCGTTCGTGATATAACGATTGCATTCTTGGAAGGCTTGGTGCATGCCGAATTGTAATGCGTTATGGTGGAGATCGCCGTTTGATTGGATGCATTTCTGGGACGAGTGCCCACGATAAGCACTGCTTGTTGCATCAGCCCTGGCTCCACCATCCGATCACAAAATTCCGGGTCAACGGCAAAATCCTGCGTCAAAAGCTTGGCGCGTCGCAATGCTCGACGCAGCCCATCCTGCTCTCTGACGTCACCCGACCGTCAGCGCGGCGACTGCCACCGGCCGCGGGCCATCTCAGTCAGGGACAAATAGCGAACTGGCTCGATCCGGGCTCACCACTTGTCGCTGAATTGGAGGCAGGTGCTCTATCAACTGAGACATCGGGACAAGCTATATTATATTTTGGGACGGGATGATGTGGCGTGGTATACCGTCGTATGCATACGACACACCACGCGGCTGTGGCAGGTCCTGCGAAGTCGTTCTCTGTCGCTCAGAAGGGAAGAGCATAGAAAGGCAACCATCCAGAGTCCTGTCCTGATCCGTTCGTGTAATCGCAAGAAAAACCTGCAAATGTTTTTAAATCGGTTTCACATACGGGGGATTCATATGATATAAACGCTAGGTGGCTACAGGATACCATTTGGTATAAGATGAGCGTACTACTAATGGTGATGTGCTGAGGTATCCAGTGTACCAGCAGTTCAGAGAAATTGGATGCAGTTCATAAATCCAGCAATCCCTGTCCTGCTCACATGCATTGGGGGTTCACAAGAGCATCAAAGGGGCCCAATCAAACATTGGTGGGACTCAGATCCCCCTCCCCCTCCCCCAGAAAGTGTGCTAAGTGACGCCACTGGCTCCCTCCCAGCTTGTACTAGTCTTCAAACGCGCTGGTCGATTTGTGCGTCCGCTGTTGCCTGGCAGTGTGGGCCATCTGCCCGCATAGTATAGACGTATGGGCCACCTGCCGGCATAGTATAGACGTAGGGACCATCTGCCCGCATAGCAAGTAAAGACCTATGCACCGTTTTCAAATGGTACCCGGCTTTCTTAGCACTACATGATTTTAGCAAGGTACCAACAAACCGCTAACATTATGTTTGGCCGACAATGTTCACCCAACGCCCATCGGACGCGCGAGATGAGCTTCATTAACCCACCACCTACCAGCCGAACGGACTTCATTCCCTCACCACTCTGTCCAAAAGTCACCATGTCGACGACCCAGAGGCTTCATGCTAACTTTCACCTTTGATCACCAGATGTTCGCCAGGACATATACCAGTGCTTCCACGCCTGACAACGGAGGCTGTCAAGCGTCGGCTCGCTATCAGGCGGTGATCTTGTGTAACCGGCTTTTTCAAGACATTCGCGTCACGTTAACATATCTGTTGTTAAAAAGTACTTCAATTTTGTTAACTTATACGTCATATTGTACGAGGTTGATGTGTAGGTAAAGGATTATTTACATGCACATGTCTGTCCCGCGTGTTCAGAATGGAGGCTTTGGCGGTCTTCTCTCTTTCAACCTGACTTGACGCTCGGAAGTCGGCTTTACTTTGGGGCGTTTCTACGGCCACATGCTTTCGTTCAGATTGTGGCATGCCGGCATTAGGTTCCCTGTGATGTCGGGGGTCAGATTTTGACAAAGATTTGACAGGAAACCATGACGACGTCAACTTATTCAAACTTGCCAGTGCGAGTCCGGCTTCCATCTCGTTCACCGAATTTTATTCATGTATTAGCTGTTGCTATGCCGAACAGAGGTACAAAATGAGTGGAAATAATTTTGGTGATTCCATGATCAGTTCTTGCTATGGTTGTGAACTTTATCAACGGTCTGCTGCTTTTTCGCGAGCCATTTTTCACTCAGAGCCTAGCCGTGGTTTGATGCTGTAGTGGGCTGGTTCACGGTACCCCTTCTTGTTGTTTTCATCCCTTTACGGCGACGTGTGCGTCTTTGTTACTTCCCACACCTGCCCCCTAGTGGAGGAGGTCGGTATCGTGGTAGTGAACTTCACCGAGAGATGGCAGCTTCGGCCTGGCTTAGTGCGTGGCGGGCTGTCTTGCTGGCCGGCAGTTTGGCCGTCCCAAGGCTATTTATATCGGGACGAGATCATCCGTCGTTTTTGTCCCGACGTGACGTCACTCCGCCGGGGTTCATACTCCTTGAAACATGGTGGATTGCTAATTGGTCCACAACAACGCCTGAATAAAGTCAGGTGTCATTGAAAAGACGAGAGGCGAGGAAGAGAGGGCATGGATGTTAAAGAAATGCAGGCACGAGAACAGCAGAGCCAATGACAAAGACAGCACTCAGTGGCGAGGGCTTGTGTTTGAAGAGGCAGGAACGGCAGACTGCATTCGGTGCTTAGTTGTCTTAGTGCTCAGATTTTCAGCGTACGCCATATAGAGTACCGTCTGAAAAGTACATTCTCGTATTCTTACATCTCTATGCATTATCCGAATTAAGAAAATCGTCGTGGCCTTTACACTAGAAACGATGTTTTAAGACGAGACATGAACTGAGAAAGGGACATTCAGGCTGTTGGATACTAGTGTTTTCACAGCAACCGTGTGAAAACATTCCAGCATTAGGTGGACGATTGGTGTTTGTGTTTGTAGCTGTAAACACAAACATCGATTGCGGCACAAAGGGTGCTTACCAAAACATTCAATGTGTTGGATTTGCCCCCAAGCTCGCACGAATGTGGTCCACCGGAGCAGTGGCAAGTCGTTGGCCGGTTTGCCTGACCGCTGGTATGCTCGCCTTTAGAGTACGGAGGTGGAGCAGCTGCAGCTGATCCAGCAGATCATGCAGGACGCCCAGGCGCAGAGTCAGGCTGGCGAGGCGGCCCGGACACCCAGCAAGGTGAGAGGACCGTGCGGCGCACTCACACTCGCTCCCCTGCCGCCAAACGCACGCTGGCACCAGTCGGTGTCGTCTTTGGACTGGTGCGGCGTCATCTGTGTCCCTATTAAATCCACTGGGCCATTCATTTTAAAGTGACCCTTACTCCCCTAGCTCGGTTTGTCGTCTTTTAACCTTACATTGGAAAGCTCTAGCCCTTTGGCGCACCGGATCACAGCGATGATGATGATGCGGTCGGTCCGCTTCACTGCGCCTTCTCCGCGTCGCTCTGGTTTTCCCAGAGGCATCGGGCCGTCGTTGAGCCGGTTCTCCCAACCAGTCTGGTTTGCGCCGACATGAGCCCCAGTGTGCTGTGCTCTTTCCCGCCCAGGACTGCAGCACAGCCCGCCCGGTTCTCATGATCGGAGCCGTACTACGCCTGTGGCTCGGCAGTTCTGGTTCGATCGTGTTGTGAGCCGGGTCCGTCAGTGCAGTAAGCTCCGGTACGTCACCAAGGCCGTCCGTGCTGATCTGTGGCTTATCCCGCGGAAGAGCGGCGCGGCCGTCCGCCGTGTCGTGAGGACAGTCGCTGTACGGAGGTCCAGCTGGTCCTGAGCGGATGCGGAGGTCCAGCTGGTCCTGGGCGGAATTGTCGTGTGGTCCGGCCCGTTCCGAGCACCGCTCCGCGAGGCTCAGCTCATCCCGAACACAGCGGTTGGATGGTACGCCCTCACGAAAGTTTGTACCAGTCACATGCCCTCCGAGCAAACCTGCTGCCCGGTCCAGGGCCTCTGGACTGACCAGTCGCCCAGCGCTGCTCGGCCTGCTCTGGGCAGGGCCGGTCCTCCAGCCCGCCGGTCGCGGGGACGGCGGACGGTGGCAGCGCGTCGGCCGCCGTCGCCCCTGCAGCGGACTCACTGGCCGTCGGGCCCCGATGCGGCAGCCGACCGTGGCCGGCCGCCGTGAGGCCGAGCCGGGAGATGACCTGGGTTCAGCTGGCGGCCGCGGCGCCGGCCTGCAGTGGCTCGTCTGCACGGCACCAGGGGACGCGGCCCGGGCTGGCCGGCCCCGGGGTGACTGACCAGATTACCGCTGCATGTAGCGGCGCCGGGCCGGCCGGCCGACCCGGCGCGGCGGCACACCCGCTCCGCTGTCTCCGGCCGGCTAACGGTGACCGGGCCGCGCCCCGCGCCGCCGGCCGCGGCCCCGCGCCCGCCCACGCCCCCGCACCTGCTCCTACTCCCACCCACGCCCACGCTCCGCACCCACTCCCGCCCCCTGCTCGCCCCCGCACCCGAAACCGCTCCCGCGCTCACTCCCGCGCCCTCCCGACGGGTCCATCCCCCCCCCCTCCCCCTGTTGCATCCACTTCCACTTCCACTCCCATTCCCACCGCCGCTTTCGCTCCAACTCCCGCCCACACTTCCGTCCCTTCTCCTACTCTTACTCCCGTGTCCGCCGAAGCAGCCAACTGCTCCCACTAACGCTTCCACGCCCACTTCTGCTTAGACACTCTATTCTATTACTTATTATTAGTTTACTATTCTATTACTTATTTTGCTACTTATATTGCTATTCTATTACTTATTTACTATAACTTATTATTCACTTACACTATTCTACACCTTCTCACACCCTTCTACACCTACTCCCACATCCACTCCCATTTTCATTCGCACTCTCGCTCGTACCCTCACTTCCACCACCACATCCACTTCCACTCTCACATCCGCTCCCGCGCCCACTCCCACTCCCACTCCCACTCCCACTCCCACTCCCACTCCCACACCCACTCCCACTCCCACTCCCACACCCACTCCTACTCCTACTCCCGCTCACGCGCCCGCAGCCCGGCAGGTTCGCCGGCCACCGGTCGGCGGTCGCCGGATGACGGTCAGCAGATCGCGTTCGCGATCCGCTCAGACCTCCGTAAGTGCCAAAAAGAAATCGGCAAGTCAGCCTCGAAGGGAGAACGTTTGGGGTTGGAGAACTTCAATCCAGTGAGAACATGACCGGAAATGGGTGCGACTCTAACGAGCGGCGATGTAGTGTCCTGACGTGTCCACCAACATACACCAGCAGTTAATCAGAGAAGAAGACTATGTGCCACTCTCTCTTTCCTTATCACCAGTCTTCATTATTATTGTCATGTCTTTGTATTTCAAACTCGTTTATTTCGGATGTCATGATGTTATTGTACTGGCACGTGGTAAGATTCGGGTGGGGCAAATGTCCAATTTTCTCCGAATTTCTGCGAATTTGCGCCGACCTCCAGCGAAATTGCTGTCTGCTACCTGCCCGTAGCTATTTGGCTACTTGCTTACCTAATTGGCTACCTGCCTGTGCCCTCCCCCCCCCCCCCCTCCCCCCCACGCTGTTAGTCCCTGTCGTGTGCATCGCCAGGATGCCTGGCCTGCGGTGGTCACGCCCGTTGATACACAAGCTGACTTATCTAATTGGATAGGTTATATCATTGCAGTCCAAGTTCCTCCCCTGGTCCATCGGGAGTAACTTAACTTAATCCTTAGGCTGGAGAGATCTAACAGCGCAAAATTTGTTGATGCGGAAGTAAATGCGGAAGTTGTCTGTGGTCGCCAAATCATGGTAGTCTTCTGTGGTCGCCAAATCATGATAGAATCAGACATCCAGCGCGGCGCGATACACACGCGCGCCCTGCAATGTGAGAATTATAAAAGACTTTCGCGCTAAAGAGAGAGTTCCACATTTATATGGCGTTTTTAATTGAAAAGGCCATCTTGAAGACCTGGCGCTGCTGTTCACAATATTGTTCGACTTAAGACCTTTTGTTTCTGAGCTACATGTTCGTAAAAATGTGGGAAGGTATATCGGGGAGTGTTTCAAAGTCACCTTAGCATTCATGAGTCACATTAACGTCATTCAAGACCTGCCATTCCATAAGCCATGCGGTGATCAAGGCCAAGAAAAATATAGTTGCCGAGGCGTTCAAATGTGGCGTTCGTGGGCGCGATTTCCAGATATGGCGGCCGCCAATTAGCTCTCAATCAACGTCGTGCCAGGAACGATAGTGTAATCATATCATGACGCATTGCGCATATTTACTAAACAGGGAATTGTGCTGTCTAGACCAATCTTTTCCACTTCAAAACATTAGCAATAGTTATAGGCGAGACCGTTTCATCATATCTGATGCTGGCTTTAATATTTTTCACGTAATTTTCCCTTTAACGGCGCTCACGTGACCTGCACGCGATCGGATTCCTTCACACGGACCTCCGGCCACAGTCTAAAGCACGACTTTGCGAAGATACCTTAAAAGCGCGGCGATGCTCAGTAATACCGCGTGCGACAAAAATACTCTGCGGCATTGGAAACACCTATCCAGCTCATCGCGTAAAACCGGTAGCAAACTTTCAAGCGGTAAATGAGCATTGCTTACTAAGGCCTGCTGTTGCCAAATTGCCAGTTTCATTAAATTTGAAAGGAAGGCGAAGACCTGATACAATCGACCAGCCAAATTTTGTTCTTCCAGTTTGCTGTCACTGTTGTTTACTGCTGCCCACCTTTTCCTTTTTAAGGTGTTTTGTATTATGTTTTGTGTTCATGATGGTATTCAAATTAATAGGGCTCCCTTCAAGTCGCTCACGTATTATGTCACATTGTGGCATTAAAAATATGCCTTGTTTGATTCCTGCCGTCATATCTGCGTGCTCAAATTGCCGCACGTTCTTCTGTGGTACACGCTAGGTAGTTCGGCCGTTTGTCACAGTATGAACTTGACATGCGTCATGGCGGACAAGCGCCATTGGCGACATGGTTCCAGAGTACAAAAATTCTGCAAGGTCTCCCAAACCACCTCACAAAATACGGTTTGTAGATGTAAATGTCTACCCGTCTGCTTTCCTCATACTTCAGCGTGTTACTACACATCCACGGCTTATTGCTCCAAAGTCAACAGTAAACGCCGCTCATCAACTTACCCCACCGTTGTTCGTGCGTTTCAAATTTAGATGCGCACGGACAGTGAACAGGGCCAAACTGGTGTATATGCACCTACTGTCGCGTGCCTACGATCCTCAGTCAGATGTAGTCACGGCAACCATTTGGGAATCGAGGAGCACGCGTGTCGGCCGTCCCTGACGCCGCCCCTGCCCGCGCGCGTGTGTACGGCGCGGGGTTAGGCTGCGCCCCCACCCCCACCCCCACCCCCTCTGCGGTCTCGGGTGCCGGCCGTGACTCGAGCAGGCTAGCTGCGCCGTTAGTCATAGCCGGGAGGAGTGCGCTCTGCTGGTGCGGTGCTGACCTGACGCAGTAGGCGCCCGCTCACCCGACCCTGCCGAGTAGGATCTGTGTGACGGACCTGCTGAGCGCAGGTCTGTGCGTTGGGCTGGCGGAGCGCAGGTTTGTGTGTGTGTTGGGCCGGCCTGATAAAAAGACAACAGTCCTAACTATCACGGTGGGGGTTTAACCGTGCATCTGACCCCACCACCAGGGGTCACACGTTGGTACGGTCAGGCCTAAGTAGTGCTGGGTCCGGACACGTCACCACACAACTCTGACGTCGCCCTGACGTCACCTGACAACTCTGACGTCACCACACAACTCTGACGTCGCCCGACACTGGCCAGCGCCTGCCTGAGTTCAGGCCGGTTGGTGGCCGCCGCGCCGGTAATGAGACGGCGTCAGCGGAGCGGCGCGGGTCAGGGGTCGGTGGGGAGGCGTCTCGGGCGGTGTCGTCGGCGGACGCCACCGCGGCGCCTCCGGCCCCCGGCCGAACCCGCCGCCAGCCTGGCCCGCCGTCCGAAGCGCCATTGCATAATTCGGACTTATTGCAGGGTGCAACAATTATCCCTGACCCTGTGCGCAGCCCTCTAGCGGGTAATAAAGGAGAACTGATGGCAGAGAGAGAGAAAGAGAGAGAGAGAGAGAGAGAGAGAGAGAGAGAGAGAGAGAGAGAGAGGGACAGAGAGACAGAGAGAGGGAGGGGGAGAGAGCGAGAGAGAGGGACAAGAGACAGAGAGAGGGAAAGGGGGATAGAAATAGAGATGAGATAGAGAGAGAGAGAGAAGCAGGAGAGAGAGAGAGAGAGCGAGAGAGAGAGAGAGAGAGAGAGAGAGAGAGAGAGAGAGAAGAGAGAGAGAGACGAGAATGGGAAGAATGAGAGCGAGAGCACAGAGCCAGAAGAATGAGAGATCGATAAAGACAACATAGCCCAGCAAAAATTTAGAGGGGATAAGGAATGATGAGGACGTGAGCGATGAAACGTTGGGCGCCGGCCTCCGCGTTGCTGTCTAGACCAATAGCGGGCAATGATGGCCGTCTGGGGCGTCTGATTGGCGTCATCAGGCCCGGCACGCTGCGAGGCACGCTCCGGCGGCGACGGCGGCCCGGCCAGCCGCAGGCCAGGGGCGCGGCAGACGGCCGCCACGCCGCGCCGCCGTAATTCATCGCGCTTCGTCGCGCTGGAGCCTGCTGGAGAAGGTGGATTGGCGCTGCGTCTTCGGTGGGATGTGATGGGCGTGGCGGTGGCGACGTCAGGTGGAGGCTGGCGGAAGTATTGGTCGCTTCGGACGGGTAAGATACGGAACGGTAGCGGCAGTGTCGGTTGGTTGGGGTGTAGCGTCGGTCAGGTCAGGAGTGCGGACGGCGGGGACTCGCCCGCCGGGCCGCTTCGTCACTGGCGGCAATAAATATTTATACGGGCAATGGAGGGGCGCCGGCGTCGGCCGCGTGCAGGCGGCGATGTGCCGCGTGCATGGGTGGTGGTGGCGGCGGCGGCGGCGGCGGCGGCGGCGGCGGCGAGGGAGAGCCGCGGGGAAGGAGAGAGAGAGGGGAGAGAGAGAGGAGAGAGAACGGGTGAGGAGGAAGATCGCGAGGAGAGAGCGAACGAGTGAGATAAAGAAGGAATGTGATAGTGGGACAAAGACGGGAGGCGGGTTCGATAAGAGTGGCAGAGGGGAGGGGCGGGGAGAGAGGCTCGGGCTCGGCAGTAACGGCGGTGGGCGGTACGGTCGCGGTTGAAGGCCGTCGCTGGGGTGGAAGACAGGGCGCCGTGAAGGCTCTGAGTTGGCGGTGGGCGCCGGGGCTGGGCATCAGCGCTCT